ATATCTATATATACTCGTGAGACTGCATACCGACTTAGCCGATTTGCTGGAGAGAATTGCTGGAAAACCGAGGAGACCGAGGATAGTGGTGTTTATTCTTGAACTGAGCGGACTATATGTTTTGTGACCCAAGGCTTACCCAACCCTGACTTTAAACAACCATTCTTTTATTTTTTTTATTTTACTATGAATACATTTTTTTTATAAACTTAATTTGCCGTATTTGTTTTTTTTTTAACAATAACAAACGCGACACCGGCTAATCCCCCCCCCCCCCCCCCCCCCCCCCCCCCCCCCCCCATCACCCACTTCCAATTACCATGGCCCGTCTTACGGCGGCGGCTACCAGGCCCTTTACAGTTCCCATGGTTTGAAATTGTTCCCCTATTTCTGTGTGCATCCATTCATAATCACATGAACAAACAACCTTCTGTTAGAATGGGCATGTAATGCGTAGGAATGAAGACGGATGTTACACAAAACTGTGGATGGGTATAACGGCAGAGGAAGGCCGAAAAAGAGATGGATGGACTGTGTGAAAGATGATATGGTAAGAAATTAATGAAAGAATGAGAAGAACTGACAAGAAACTCAGCTCGTATTTTTTTCAAATAAATGTTGTACATGTTTACAATACATAATGAAAGTACAGTGTCACGCTACAAATAAATATTGCTATTCTATTATTCAAATAGAATTATAGAGCAATTTTAAAACTGTTCTGTACACTATTTACCTGAACAGATCTCAGAAAAACTTTGTCAAAGTAACACGGGGTAAGTTTAGTTGCACAGGTGGAAGTGGCGCCGGGCGGCGGGTTTACAACTCCTCAAGTAAAATTAAATAATATTAACATGAACTTTTATACGACGCCACGCTGGAATTTTCTTTTGAACTGCAACTGAAAAAAGTTGAAGTACATGAAACATGTTCTCAAACTAAACTACACTTTATTTGATATACACTTTTAGAAAATAATTCATACCACATTTTTTTTATTGGGGTGTTTGTGCTATTGTCAGGTGCTATGACCTGTAACACTGCGACTTATAGATCTATTGTGCTCACCCTTATTCAAAGTTCGCTACATAGACCCGTCAGAAAGACAAGAATTGTCCACTCATGTATAAACGAAATATCTCCTTTGGAAAATTTTCACACTATCCTGAGGAGGAAAAAAACCGTAGCTCCATAGCTATGGTTTTTTTCTCCTCAGGATAGTAAGTAAATTTTCCAAAGGAGATATTTCGTTTATACATGAGTAGGCTACAACCACATAGGATGTGTAGTGGCGTTTCCTCTTCTGCTTGGCAAAATCTGCAGACCGATGTTAAGCTAACGCCTAATTTCGTCATGTGCTCATTCAGCTTGCAGTGTCCAGTGAGGGTCCTAGTGATAATGCATATAATGTTTTTACTAAATAGTTGAAACTCGCTAGCTCGTTATTAGGGCTTTTGAATGTACAAATCCTGGCGTATTCTGCCACTGAATGTTTATTTAACATAATTTATATTAACAACATTTGTATATGGATATATTCCCAGTGGTATAATAATTTTTCAACGAATCAGTCACACTGACATTATTACGAAAGGTTCAGTTCACTTTCATATTCAGTTCATATTTACTTATTTATCCTATTGCTCAACTCAATATAAGTCATGTCACTTAAGTAAAACCAATAATTAGCTTTAATATTGTACATTAATGTAAATGTAGTATTAAAAACTGGACATATTAACATAAACGGTTAAAATGTCTTACATGAATAAATGATTTTTTAATTTTGAATTTTGTCTGAACTGCATTGAAATGATCTCCTTAGCTTTCTCTGGATTCCCCGTGCAAATGCCGGGTCCATGGTGTGGCAGAGAGGGAAACTCCGAGCAGTTCCCGGGACTCGTAACCCGGGTGGCGGTTTTGTCCCTTGTCGTCGTACGCTACTATAAATACTACGAGGCTTGTTTATATTGTAAGATTAAGTTCTAATATCACCAACAACTCGCTCCCACGTGCCCCAAACAATGGTAAAGGCAACTAATATATTTGCTAATTGTTCTAAGTTAAATAGAGCCTGAAAATGTCAAATTTCAAGCTCCACCGCACCCGCGAGGGTGTCACTCTTATTATGAACAATGAGAGTAGCTACAATACAGTAGTACGACGCACTAAAGGTTACTTAAAGGATTTAAAGAGCAAAACAATAGAATAATATTAAAAAAATATATATAAGTAACTACCTGTGCCTGCGGTTTCACAGCGTTTCACGTTATATTTCTATATAAAATATACGTTGTTGTTATTCCGATGGATAAGCTATGTTACTGTAGAGTTTCATCAAAATCCGTTCAGTAGTTTTAGCGTGAGTAACAAACATCCACACTTACAAACTTTCGCGTTTGTAATATAAAGATTTTTTGTGGTTCGACAAAACAATTTCTTAATGCTAAAGTAAATCTGTTGCAATTAATAAATTACAATAAATAATAAAAATAAAATTTAGTACACAGATGGCTTAGACCCTGAGATAGGATATAAGTTACTCCTAAAGCGAAAAAGGGTTGAAAGGGGTTGAAAGGGAAGATGAAAGGGTTGTATGCAAGTATCGTCATTTTTAAAACTAAAATCTTGAAAATTATTTTTTAGGCTTAAATTAAATATAAATATGACAATCAAAATTTGTAAAATTTTACCCTTAAGAGGGGTAAAATAAAATAGGGGAAATTCGTCATTTTTGGAACCAGAACCATGAATTTTTTTTCATGGGTTGTTTCGGGTTTGAATTTATTAAATATTTTTTCCTTATTTGGTCAAAGTTAGTTCCACGCAGACGAAGTAGCAAGCACAGCTAGTTTGTTTGTTTGTTATGTTTAATACAATATTTGAACTGAATAAAATTCTGTACTAAATAACAGGAACGAGTATCTAGTGCAATATGTGAGGTCCATTATACGCGGCTGTGGAGCTCCTTTAGGTACTGCTACTACAGATCTTGCATACGTCTGGCCGTGATGGTAAACGTGCATAAACTACACACAGTCGGTGAGTCGCACCTCAATACACACTTGTTCACGGTGTTTGGTCTGTTCTAACGAGCTGTAACACGCCACACGGCCACTTCACTACACGCCGGTGGGTTGGTTAAAGAGTTCAAGCAGTGTTGCCACCTTAATAGTGCTCCACTATATATGGCGGATTTTACCACCCCTTGCCTTTAATAGGCAACATTTATTTATTTTATTATTGAGCGGAACGCCAAGCGCGAAGCGACTTGGACATGATTTGCACTCTTTGTAACGATACTCCGAAACGGCTTGACCGATTGCGATTAAAATTCCATCTATCTTAGGGTCTCATTGCTGACCATTAAAAAAATTCCGATTATTCAATGTCGAGTTAAAAATAAACGCATCCCATCCAACAACATACCAGTAACAAACATAGTTTATTTTAAATTGCACAATTATGATACAGTAAATTCACGTATTTACCTTGTTAAATGTTAAAAATAGCAACGTAGAAGGAAGACAGATATTATGTACTTATAAAAAAAATAAAACAAATGGGCCATAGATGTCCATCTTATTATTTTTATTATTATTATTATTATATGAAAATGCTACTGATAAATTGATGACATGAATTAAAAAACCTGGATTAAATAAAAAATAAAAATTAATTATCTAATCCAAAAGACAAAAAAAAAAATTATCATTCTAGCTTCAAAAATGACGAATTTTCATAAAAATTGTTCACCTCCTATTTTACCCTCTTAAGGGTAAGAATTTTACAAACTTTAATGTAATATTTATATGTAATCAACAGCCTAAAAGTATAAAGTTCAAGCTTCTAGCTTAAAAAATGACCATACTTCCATAAAATCTTGCATTTCCCCTTTCAATCTCTTACAACCCTTTTTTACATTAAAAAGTAGCCTAGTATGCATGTCCTTCCTCAGGGTATGTGTGTACCAAATTTCATTTAAATCGGTTTATTAGTTTTGGCGTTAAAGTAAGACAGACAGACAGAGTTACTTTCGAATTTATAACATAAGTAAGGATTACCTAAATGGGTGAACCATTAGATTCGTATATATATGTTTCTGTTTATTTAGCTGTATCGATAGAGGCTTCCTTACTTGAAATACGAAAATTGCTACTCGGTTTGTCTGCAGAAGTAAATTGACGGAAGAAATATATATGTATATTTATAACATAAATATATGATTCTCGCAATTAACTGTTTTATAATTTTAATATACATCAAATTATATTTATAAATTAATTATTTTCATGAACATTTCACATTCATATTGAACGAGTCTCCGAGAAATTTGTGAATATTTAATTATCGTTTAATAAACAGAAATATATTTGTTAACGCCATCTATCAAACTCATAAGGAATCAAAGGCGTCATCAATGTGAAGTGGAACACGGATTGCTTCCCTCGACAGGACTGGCAACAACTTCACTCGGCGCTTCGAATTTTTGTCTTGTCATTATAAACTTTTACGTGTTATGCTACTATATAAAGATTAAACTATTAAAACTAAATACGTATTACTATCAAAGGATTTTATTCGTAATAACAAACAAGAAACTAAAATATACAGAGGGAAAGGCGCAAACATAATGGTCTTCGCAGCCGGATTATCGAAGAAATAAAGAATCAACAAGAAAAACGGTCAGAGCCATCATCCCTTTGTGTCACTCGTCCTAAACGAAATTTGTGTTAACAGTGTTGAACTTTATAATATAGTTGTATTCTATTGTGCATTATTGGATTTAAGTTTAATTTTATTGGAAATTTAAATCGTAAGTACCTACCTGCACTTGATTTCTTTAAACCATTAAAATGAGTGATGACGAATTTAGAGACGTTACTTCAATTGATATAAACAAACTTATTGAACTGAAAAAACTAAGAGCTACTGTAAAAGGTAGATTAACATTATTCGAAAAATATATCAATAAATTCAAATCTGTTATTTTAACAAAAATGCAAATAACAGAAATAAACTTACGAATGCAAACTATTGCGCAGTGTTTTAACAATTATTGTGATATTCAAAATCAAATAGATGTTCTAGTAGAAAAAAGAGAATTGGACAATCAATTAGAATATAGAGAGTTGATCGAGGAACAGTACTATAGTAATATTGCCGCGGCGAAATGTTTGATAGAAACAGATGAAGCTACTGATTCCAAATGTTCGCACTCTTCGAAATCCGTAGCTGTGAAGCTTCCAGACATACGGCTGGCCTGCTTCGACGGGTCCTACGATCAGTGGCTAGAATTTAGAAATTCATATATAACCATGATCCATAAACGCACTGATCTTGACGCTATTCAAAAATTACACTATTTAAAATCTTCTCTTAGTGGTTGTGCGTTACAAGTAATTAGTGCGCTAGAATTCACTGCATCCAATTATAATCATGCTTGGGAACTATTAGAAAACAGGTTTCATAATAACCGCCTCCTTGTTTATAACCACGTGAGATCATTGTTCACAGCTCCGGCAGTTATAAAAGAATCATCACAACAGATTAGAAAATTAATTGATACGATTTTGCGTAATTTGCGCGCTCTCCAATCCTTGGGCGAACCAACAGATTCGTGGGACACCCTAATTATTTATTTAGTCCTGACTAAAGTAGACTCAGGTACGGAAAGAGAATGGGAGAATCATAAGGGGTCGATTTCTAGTGATCCTAACAATAAATTAAAATTAGATGATTTATTAAACTTTTTAAGAAATAAAGCCGACATGTTGGAAGTTACACTTTTGAATCATAAAGTACAATCGAATAAAATAGTTCACAAACGTAAATCTGTACAGGATTTTAAAAGGTCTTCGAATCAATCACAGTTAACACATAGCTACATTACAACGCGATCGAATAACAACAGTAAGTTTAATAAACCTATTGATAGACGAATACGTAATTGTATTATGTGTAACGGAAACCACGCCCTTTATACTTGTATTTCCTTTTTAAATTTATCTGTAAACGAGAGGATAAATTTAATTAATGAAAAAAAGTTATGTCGAAATTGTTTGCGTGGCGGGCATACCATAAACGAATGTATGTTTGGTCCGTGTAAACAATGTCAACGTAAACACAACAGTTTAATTCATACGGATAATGAGATGGACATGGGCACATCAGCTGATCGTGCGCATTATTCACAATCGGCTGATAACCTGCACGGTACATCGACTGCACTTCATTCTCAAATTAATAATACAGACGATTTAAATGCGACTTTGTTTACAATGCAACAAGTTCTATTATGCACTGCACTAGTTGATATAGTCGATAATAAAAACAGATGTTTTACAATACGTGCTCTTTTAGATAATGGAAGTCAACACTCTTTCATTTCTAGCGAATTATTTAAACGATTAAATATAAAATCTATACAGTCCACTATACGAATTTCGGGTGTGGGACAATCACTCACTCAGTCGAATGAAAGATGTGAGATTAATATACGATCAAAAACCTGTGATTATAGTACGCGGGTTCAGTGCATGGTTCTGCCATGCATTACGTCGATTATACCTTCAAAGCCAGTAGATTATAAGTTATTACGTATCCCGGATAATATTCATCTTGCGGATCCATCCTTTAATGAACCGTCCGTGATTGATTTATTAATCGGTGCAGACGTATTCTGGGATATGTTATACGAAAGTAGAATTCGCTTACCGAGTGGACCGTTCCTACAGAACTCTAAATTAGGGTGGTTGATTTCAGGTCCAGTCGGTAGCGATTACCCGCGTAAGAATAATCAGATTCAGTGTAATTTAACACAAACAATAGATTCAAATTTAAAACGATTTTGGGAACTAGAAGAAATAACTAATAGAAATGAAATACATACTGAAGACGAACACGCATGCGAATACTTATATGAAACCACAACAAAACGGGACATAGATGGTAGATTTTTAGTGCGAATTCCCTTACGGAAATCAGCTGATCATCTTGGTGAATCGTATTCTTTCGCTAAATCCCGTTTCTTATCGTTGGAACGCAAGTTACATCGATTACCGTTCTATAAAAAATTGTATTGTGATTTTATACGCGAGTATATTGAACTGGGGCATATGACGAGGGTAAATGAATATAATAAACCATATTATTTTCTACCTCATCACGGAGTTCTACGTGAACACAGTACGACAACTAAGTTACGTGTTGTTTTTGACGCTAGTGCTGTGACCACGTCAAACTTGTCATTGAACGATATTCAGTACGTCGGACCGCCTCTACAAAATGACATCTTTTCAATATTATTACGTTTCAGGCAGTACAAGTTCGTAGCTTGCGCTGATGTCGAGAAAATGTTCCGACAAATATTTATACAGACTGATCAAAGAAATCTACAGCTTATTGTTTGGAGAGAGAAACCATCGGATCCACTCTGTGTTTATCGGCTGAATACGGTTACATACGGAACGGCGTCAGCACCATACTTAAGCATGCGTTGTCTAAGGCAATTAGCAAAGGATTGTAGTGATGATAACATTGCTAAAATCATAAATGAGGATTTCTATGTTGATGATCTCATTACAGGTCATGACGATAAACAAATTTTGTTGGAGGTGTGCAGTAAAATATCACAAGTACTGTTATCGGGATGTTTTCCATTGCGTAAATGGACATTTAATCACGATCTAGAGATTGTTACTTCTAAAGAATTGGGTATTGGAGATCATCAACAAACAAAAACTCTCGGTATAGGTTGGTACAACACTAGCGACGAACTACATTTCACCACCGCGGTGACCAATGTACACACAATAACGAAACGAACTATTTTATCTGTTTTATCGCAAATTTACGATCCACTCGGTCTTGTGACACCTGTCACGATAATTGCAAAAATTTTGATGCAAAAATTATGGTTATGTAAAATTAACTGGGATGATGCTGTTCCAGAACCCATTAAATTAAATTGGTTACATTTCCTTAATACATTAAAAAAATTACATGATTTACGAATTCCGCGTTATGTGCTGAATGAAAACAGCGACGTAAAGGAATTACATATTTTCACCGACGCATCTCAGAGTGCATACGGCGCTTGCGCCTATATTCGTAGTTACAATAATGATTACAATTCGTCAGTAACAGTTAAACTACTATGTGCTAAAAGTAAGGTATCGCCGATTAAGCCAGTCACAATTCCGAGATTGGAATTATGCGGCGCCTTGTTAGGAGCCAGATTATATACGAAAATTACATCTTCAATGAGGTTTCAATTCAATAAAGTGTATTTTTGGACGGACTCGACTATAGTTATGGGGTGGATCCGTATGTCACCTCATTTATTAAAAACATTTGTGCAACACCGCGTGACCGAAATAAATGAGTTAACTGGTGATTCAATTTGGTTACATGTTAATAGTAAGGATAACCCGGCCGATCTTGTGTCTAGGGGTGTTTACCTCGATATGCTTATCGACTGTACGCTATGGTGGAGGGGTCCTTTGTTTTTACAAGACCGGCAGTTTGACTTTAAAATCGATCATAGTACGTATGATTCAGTTTTGTTGCCGGAAGTAAAAAATCAAATCATTTGTGCTTCTTCCAGCATATCCAATAGTTTAATCGACTTCTTGCGATTCTCCTCACTTAAACGATTAAAACGAAGTAGTGCCTACGTAATACGTTTCATAACCAACGCCCGCTCGTCTAAGTCCCTACGTAAAACAGGCTCATTATCCGTTAACGAGTTGGACGCAGCGACAAATATGTTAGTTCGGTTTGCACAATCGGAATCGTTTGCAAATGAATATGATAATCTATTGAAACAATTACCGATCAAAGGGAAAGGTGTTTCAAATAAAATTTCCGGTCTTAATATATTTTTAGATAAAGATGGCATAATCAGAATTGGTGGTAGATTGACCAACTCACACTATTTCGATTATAATAAAAAACATCCAATATTACTATCTAGTAAACATTACTTTAGCACGCTTTTATTTAGAGATGAACATAAACGGTTGTTCCATGCAGGACCCCAATTACTTTTATCTACAATCCGTGAAAATTGGTGGCCACTCGCTGGTAGAAACTTAGCTAGAAAGATAGTTCGGCAATGTGTTACATGTACGCGCATGAAGGGGAAAACAATCACACCGATAATGGGTAACTTACCCGCCGAGCGCTTGGAACCAGGGTACCCTTTTATACGTTGCGGTGTGGATTATGCCGGACCGGTGATGATACTGAGCCGTAAGGGTAGGGGTGCTTCTCTGGTGAAGGGTTATATCTGCGTTTTCGTATGTTTTACTACTCGAGCTCTGCATTTGGAATTAGTATCTAGTCTTTCTACAAACGATTATTTACTGGCTTTAAAACGTTTCATCTCTCGCCGCGGCAAGCCCGTAGAGATATTTAGTGACAATGGTAAGGCCTTTGTAGGTTCTCAAAAGGACTTATCATTATTTTTAAATGAAAATGCTAAAGAAATCGAAGATTTTGCCACCAATAATGGCATTAAATTACGTTTTATTCCACCGTACGCTCCTCATTTCGGCGGTTTATGGGAATCAGGGGTCCGATCATGCAAATATCATCTCAGACGAGTTGTAGGGAATTGTAATTTGACCTTTGAAGAGTTCACTACTGTCTTAACACAAATTGAAGCTATACTCAATTCTCGTCCTTTATATCCATTATCCTCCGATCCAAACGATTTCCTCCCCTTGACTCCTTCGCATTTCCTCATTGGTCGGCTTCTGACCGCGCCTCCATGCAAGGATCTGACGTCTACTCCAACACATCGTTTGATACGATATGATCGCATAGAACAAATGAGGCAACACTTTTGGCAACGCTGGTCTAAGGAGTACGTGGCGGAACTTCAAACAAGAACGAAGTGGAAATTGCAACAACCAGACATTCGTCTAAATACATTAGTACTTATTAAAGAAGAGAATCTACCACCACTAAAATGGCGACTGGGTAGAATTACACGTACCTTCCCGGGCAAAGACGGAATATATATGGCAGAAATACTCACAGCAACTGGTATCATTCATCGTGCCACTTCTAAGATATGTCCGCTTCTACCTCAAGGCACAGAAACGAATTAAAGGAAGGAAAACCTCAATTATAGCATATGTTGAAAGTCTATACATTCCATTAGCTTTCAAAGGCGGGGCCATGTTAACGCCATCTATCAAACTCATAAGGAATCAAAGGCGTCATCAATGTGAAGTGGAACACGGATTGCTTCCCTCGACAGGACTGGCAACAACTTCACTCGGCGCTTCGAATTTTTGTCTTGTCATTATAAACTTTTACGTGTTATGCTACTATATAAAGATTAAACTATTAAAACTAAATACGTATTACTATCAAAGGATTTTATTCGTAATAACAAACAAGAAACTAAAATATACAGAGGGAAAGGCGCAAACAATATTAAAGTAATATATACACTTAATTGAGTTGTACGACAGTTAATGAGTACTGTTTGTCTGTATATACGGATGTATATGTATTTGTAATTACAAGTCAATATATAGACATTTGTATAACTTGGAAATTGAATAAGGTTTTTGTCATTTTAGCGCACAATACTATATATGTGTATGTATATTTAATTAATTGAATAAAGTACAAGGACACATACAGTTCGTATATCTTCGTTATTCGTATCGTATGTTGGACTCTATTCTGCACAACGGGTGCATGTAGAGTCGGGCTACTACAGTAGTCAGCCAAGTTCCTCCCAGAAGCACAGAAGCCTCCTAGTGTTTTCACAGGCTTTTTCCATTCCCACACTCAGAAACCGAGGTTATTTTCAATCACACACAGAAGTAAGAAAATTGTAAATATTTTGTTGTCATTTAATTTATATAGAATTCTAAACAAGCTGGAGGATTTCCTGGACGCGGCCACTACACGAATATATTGTATATTATGTATTGTAAAACAGCAACACACAAGTTTCTTGCTCAATCTTCTTGTGATGAATCTGCGTTCCGAATGAGTGGTAGGATCAAAATATAACTATTCAAAGGTGCTTGTAATGAGTTCATTTGAATAAAGATTATTATTTTTGATTACCTGATAATAGTTATAATGAACTTTCACTAAATATCAAAATGGAAAAGAGGATATAAGTAGTGTAAATCCACTTTTAAAAAAAACATTTATTCAAAAGAGCAACACACAAGTTTCTTGCTCGTTCTTCTTGTGATGCGTCTGCGTTCCGAATAAGTGGTAGATTAAAAAAATGAGAATATTCAAAAATGCTTATATTAAATTTATTTGAATAAATATTATTTCTATATCATAAGTTCAATAATAAAGTAAGTCAGTTATTAATATTAAAGTATATTTTAATTTTTTTTTGTAAAGGTAAACTGCTCAAATAGCACTAATTTATCAGCGATTTTGATTATAGATTTGGTCCAGTGCAGGCGTGGTGCAGCGGGCGCGGCCGCCCGCCCATCACGATACCATCGGCTTTGCACCGTAATGGCCTTTTAATGATGGATGGTGCAAGTGATAAGAGACGTTCACAAGATAGCCGAGTTAACAGTTCATGCAATTTGATATAGTAGGTCGATTTCCATGCGATATATCCTGGAAATCAGCGTGGTTAAATTCATGTTAAATCGCAACAAGGGACCACATTACCTGACTTCATGTGTATCTTAGCATCTTTAGAAATGTACTGTAGTAGGGTGTTATATATGAATGTGGATGGTTATAATGGCAGAGGAAGACCGACAAAGAGATGGATGGACTGTGTGAAAGATGATATGGTGAGAAAGGGAGTAAATAACGAGATGACTGCGATCAGAGATGAATGGAAGAGAAAAACATATTACGACGACCACGAATAAATCGGATAAGGTAGAAACAGATGATGATGTGGTAGGGCGACCTCTATGCGGTCCTTTTTTTTTCTTCATAAATACATACATATTATACATAGAAAACACACAGACCGATACAAACAATCACACTCACGAATACAAATGTTTGTGTCGTACGATGAATCGAACCCGCGACAATCGGAAGTAAGGCGATGTGCTAAACAGTTACACCGTCGAGGCCGCTGAGAATGTGTAAAGGCATCTAATAAATAACAAAACTATCTAAATCACAGTGTTTTAATATATGATATTAGTTATATAAAAACGGTTACATCTCGTGGCGTGTACCGCACACGTGTATGTGGCGGGTCGGGTTCTAAGAACAATAGTTGCATTACAATCACACGTTTTTGTGTCGCAATTTGCGTACGTGGCCATTACAGAACTAGATTGCATTCACTGAAATGCGACAAACAAACAGCAGGAAACTAACGAAACGAATTGCATTATTCAATCAGGATTTAAATCTAAAAATTCATTACGCTCCCACACTCAGAAACCGAGGTTATTTTCAATCACACACAAAAGTAAGAAATACGTAAATATTTTGTTGTTATTTAATGTAATTAGAATGCCAAACATGCTGGCGGCCACATTCCTGGACGTGGCCACTACACGAATATATTATGTATTGTAAAAGAGCAACACACAAGTTTCTTTCTCGTTCTTCTTGTGATGAGTCTGCGTTCCGAATGAGCGGTAGAATAAAAAAATGCGACTATTCAAAAGTGCTTATATTCAGGGCCGTCTTCCACCTGTTAGAGAACCTGGGCATATTAGAATGTATGAAAAATAATTTTAAAAAGTCGTTATGTAATGGGTTCAAGTTCTTGCGATATATTTATATGTATGATGCGTATTTAACAAAAATGTAATAGTTTATAAGGAGAATAACTGTAACTACTTAAATTGGTGTCAATAAAATATATTATTATTATTATTATTTATAAAAAAATTAACGAAAACGAACAAATTGACTATAAACAGTAAGCATTTGTTAAGACTGATTTTTAGGTGAGAATAGAGTAGCTATATGTTATCGTTTGGTAACGGAGTAGGGACTAGACTAGACTAGGGGGTCCCAATTCATGGCGGGGCCCTGGGCACGAGCCCAGTGAAGAAGAAGGGCCTACTAATATTAGAGTTATTTTAATAAAGATTATTTCTATTTCTATTTCACTGAAATACGACAAACAAATTCAACTAACAAACTCACAAAATGCATTTTTTCAATCAGGATTTAAATCTAAAAAATTTCATTATGGTCCGACACCCAAAGACCGAGGTTGTTTTAATATATTAAAATAAGAAAAATGTTTTTTTAAATCTTTGTATATAAAAATTACATGTCACGTTGTTTGTCCGTGATGGACTCCTAAACTAATAAACCAATTGCAAATTTGATTTGCACATTGTGTGCAATTTGAGCCAACTTGAAAGATAGGATAGCTTACATCTCAATTTATAGTCGCAATATTATTTTATACAAGAACCTTAGCCACAGCATCGCGTGGGCGGGTCTGATAGGGTTCTTCCTTATAAAAAATTTGCATGCTCAAAATGCAGCTGAATATGGAACTATAAATTAATTTGTAAGAACAATATAACCTATTCAAAGCAATTAAATAAATAATTACATAGAGATAATGAAATTGAAAATATATTCAAAATAAGCTACTTTACATGTTTGAATAGGTCAGATCAGTCAGCATCAACATAAATTGAAGACAATCATTGAAACATCGTCGCCATGATGAGCATTGAACATTCTCAATACAACCATTTTGAATTTGATAACAAATTCAAGCTCCACTCAATCAGTATAGAATGGAGTCAAATGCACATTCGGGCATTAGAGATATGGATATCTGTAGTATACGGCTCGACGCATAAACGAACAGCGATTGTCAAAGTCTGTGATGGATCAGATAAATATATAATATTGTGCGTGAAGATTAGCGGTTCTGGAAAGCAGGTACACATAATGATTTATGTATGAATTATATTTTTTAAACCAAATTTACCAATTTTATAAAGTAGTAGAGCAACTTTGGCTACTTTTATTTGAATTTCATTTTTATTCCACGTGAACGAACTCTCGGATAAACACTTATTGTTGTATTCTAATGACTATATACCCATTTTTTATATTAGTAATGTACTATTATTTTTAAGAATCGAGCAAGCAACTTGCGTGTTGTTTTATATTTAAAATTATAAATCTAAATATATATAACTTAATGGTGACTGACATAGTGATCTATCAACGCACAGCCCAAACCACTGGACGGATCGGGCTGAAATTTGGCATGCAGATAGATGTTATGACATAGGCATCCGCTAAGAAAGGATTTTGATTAATTCTACCCCCAAGGGGATAAAATAGGGGATGAAAGTTTATATGAAACTTTGTCAATTTTAAACCTATCGGGCTGAGGCATAAAGCTACTATGACATAGGCATCCCCTAAGAAAGGATTTTGATAAATTCCATCACTAAGGGAATAAATTAACGCGAGCAAAGCCGCGGGCAAAAACTAGTCAACACATAAATTTCTTGCTCGTTCTTCATGTGATGAGACACAAGAAGAACGAGCAAGATTGGAATGCTTCCAAATGAGCGGTCGATTAAAAATAGGATATCTCTGGCTATACGGTATTTAAATTAAGTTTATTTGAATAAAGGATTTTATTATTTATTATTCTATTCTATTCTACAGCATATTGCCCCAATTTTCTCGGAACGGCAAAAAAGATCCGGTACAAAGGACCAGTGTATTTCTTGTGTCCGCTTCAGCTTGTAACCGAGACGCTACATCGGTAAGTCACGCTTGAGGGCGCGTGTGCAAGCTGGCATCGTGACATGTCGAACGGGCTACATCTCGTAGGCACCAATATTTGCTTCGCCTACTGCACCCAATGGGACTCGTAGACCTACACTCACGTAGAGGTGAATAGATGTCGCAAATGACATTTATTTTTTGTAACGGCACCTCTGTTGGTTAATGGTAGCTGTCGTGTATATATACGGACAGTACTACGGACATCACGTTATCATGTAACTGTGATACCACACAAAACTGCCGAAGAAAAGAAAAGAGCTTATTGCCTCTTAAAAGGCCGGCAACGCACTTGCGATTCTCCTGGTGTTGAGGGTGCTCGTGCTCAAGCCGAGCCACAAGCTCTTTTATCTGTACGGAACAC